AAATAGTAAGGCATCGTGAAAAATTTTAAAATTATTTTTCTGAGTCACCCACCACAGGTAAGAGCTGCGAAAATTGTTAGATACAATTTTCACACTCTCTAAAGTGGTTTTGTGATTTATTATACCCAAACGAAAAGAAAATCGGAAATCATACCAAAAATTGATGAAATTTAGTGAGGGGTCATTATTCACCATAAGGGTCATCCATGAATTTATTTCGGATTTGTAGACATCTGGAAGTATTTTATGTGATTTATGCCCTTGGTTTCTTGCAATAATTTTAATAAATCAAAGAAATAATAAAAGCTCTTGGTATTTTACAGATTATCACATGCCAGTGAGGGCTTTCTAAAGGAAAAATGTTCAGAATTTATTCAGAAGGGAAATAGGGGTATTGAACCCAAACAAGTTAAGAAATGTTGCACATTATAGTGCATGAGATGTAAATGTGGCTGAAGTTCATGAATTTGAGTAGCACATTCTGTGGGGCTTTAAGCCACGAAATTTCAGCCATCATTCACTGGATATGTTAAGTATCTAAATTATTTTTCCCCAGATTTATGGTTGGGTTTAAGGCCATTGATCAAGCAAAGGAAAAATGGTGATCGCAGAAAAAGAGCTGTTTGCGCAATCATTTTGTAAAAATTGCCAAAAATCCGATATTTAATATTTTACAGTGAGACCAGTTGGATTTGAAAGCTAACTCGTGGAACTATCCAAGACAAAAAGAATATCAGGATTTGGTTAAGAAATGACCGAGTTATGGCCGTTCAAAGCTGAACAATGTAATCTGGCAGATTGCATGTTTGCTTCGAGTGCATTCTTAGGGCATTTTGACAAGAACAACATGCATGCTTCTATTAATGTCCGATTTCTAGCACATGCATGGAGTGAATGAGCATCCAAGATGTACTAGAAATGGTTTAAACACTTTTGGTCATGCAAGAACACAAAAGAAATGCAGAAGAAGATGTAATACTCGGTTTTGAAGTCACATGAACACATGTGCATCTTTTTCACTCCTTGCATGGGTTTGATCCCGGATTTTCACCATCTCAAACACATACATTGTGTTATGGTGAGAATCTACAAACCACAAGGGAAAAGTAAGGATTTCTAGCCATGGAAGGGCATAGAATCCGAAGAGTATAGAAAACCATGAAGAAGAAGAAGTAAAATCATGAAACCATGAGGGAGGATTGTGTTGTTTACCTTGGTTTTGATCTTGAGAGAAGCAAGAACACTTCAAGGCCTCCTTAATCTCGAAATTATGGCAGAGAATGGAGGATTTTATGATGTGTAGGAGTGGTCTTGGAAGTGGGAGAGTTTTCTTGGAGAAGGAGTGTGAGATGGAGTGTGTAGGTGGTTCAAATGAGGTGTAATGATGGGTTTTAAGGCATGGGGGAGAGGGAAAAGCCTAATGGACGAAAATTTAAGAGGGATATGGTATTTTTATTGGCATTTGATCAAATAATAATAGCCTCCCTTGAATTTTTATAAATCTAGATTTTAAATTTTATAAAACTCAAACATTTTCATAATCTCCTAAGGTTTTAATTATTGGGTTTTGTTGAGGTATTTACACTTGGTAATGACTTCCAAAAATTATATTTGTTGAACTAATTTATATAATGATAACCTATCATTTAATTTTTTTTTATAAAAGAATCAATTTATCATAATTCAACAATTTTAACAAGGATTCATAATATGTGCTTGTAAGAATTTGATATTCATGGATTTTACTTTTGGCTCACATTTCGAATCATGAAGTGTATGAATTTTTTGCCATCAACTTTATAGTTGGTTCTCTTGGATTAGTGTCTAAGTCCATAACTATTTTGGTATGTACTTGACCCGATGGTGCATGGTCCTTTTGGGTTGCCTTCACCGAAGCAACTTGATTGGAGAAATATATAGAGAGAGGGGATAATATGATTTATTAATATGTTATAAGAATAATATATTAAAGGAGAAATCATATTTGTCTAATTATTATTGGTCAATAATTAATTAAGAATTAATTTTGTGATCAAGTGTAATTAATTAAACTAGAGGGGCTGAATTGTAATTATGTGATAGTTACAAAATATGGTAATGGTTATCCTAAATATGGGTTGAACGAATTCAAGGAGATAAGGATCCTTGAAATCGTCCAAAGGATAAAGGATAAGGGTTTTCAAGGCTTATCTTATGGTTGCTTTGTGGATAAGCAACTAGATAAGGATAATGACTGAAACCCTATCTCTACACCTATATAAAGACCCTAAGGCCTTAGAATTCGTGTACTTGTTCCCAAGAAGTCCTAAGGACGAATTCTAACCTCTCTCCTCTCTCTTTATACCTTCTCCATTTCCTCTTGGTGTTTGTAAGCCATTAGAGGAGTGACACTTGTGACTCTAAGCCTTCCAAAGTCAATACAAGGAGATTTGGGATTGTTATTGCTACATAACAATCAAGGTAATATTATAAACCTATTCTTATGTTAATATGATTACTTATATGCTAGAATTAGGGTTTCTTTATGTGTTCATAATGTTGTGTATCTAATAGTGAAAACATAGATCCAATTCTAGGGTTGCATGCACACATAGGATTGTTTGTATAAAAACCAACAGGTTCATATTATGATCTAATTTTTGTTCATATTAGCTTGTGATACTTAACCTTGTTAAGCATCAATTTGTTCCAATATGAAATTTTTAGGGTTAATACCCTACCCTTGAGTTGTAATCTATCGAACATAGTTTTATGTTTAGACTTAAGGTTCAGCTTTGGCACTTTACCACTTAGTTGGTTCCTTAACCTATCAATATGATCGATCAATACAACTAAGGTACACTACTTGATCCGAGGGATCTATTAATTCACAAACCTAGTTCAACTTGTAACTATAGAGCCAAGTTAAGTGCACACAAGGAAATGACAAGGTTCTAGATGAATATTGACCTGAGTTGACAGTTGTCACAAACATAAATTATAGCACCCCTCTTCATCACCTCATTAAGTTTAATCTTTTTGTTAAATCAAACTAAAAGAAATTCAACACCATATTATGTTATGTTATGTAAGACTACAATTTTAAATGGTAGTGGTACCTTTTTCAAACTTTTTGTTCGTCCTTCTTTCCCTTCTTCATGAAACTTCATTTTCACCTATAAATAACATTAAAGCCTATATGTTTTAAAAAGATTGTAGCTTTTGTCATGTCACAAAAAAAGAAATGTACTTACAAGGCCCTTGTTGAAATGTGATTGGATGACATCAGCAAAGTAATACTTTATCCAGCTAATGGCAGTGATAAGAGAAGCATTCCTTCTAAGAAGAGGATGAGGTGGCAATGGGGCAATGATAAAAGTTGGCGTGGCTTGTGGGGAGATTTAGGAATACCCAAATGAGTTATGTTGTTAGAAACTCACACAACACAATCAGGTAGTGGAGGAGACACTCTGGAAAAGTGCCTCACATTATGAAAATTGCACTTCAGCCACATCATTGAACATACTGTCTGAAAATAGTAATTACAATTCAACATCTTTTTAGTTTTTACTAATTCCTTCCAATTAACATTATTTTCCCAAATTATAACTTTTCTATGTATTTAAGTCCCATGTAGTAAACTCACTTTTATAATCTTGAACATTAGGTTTTGAAAGTTGTCATAGTTAGACTATTTTCATGCAATAGCAAGAAACATTTATAGTAGTTGATCAAAATATAAAGGAAATAACCATTCACAAACACTTAGCTAGCTTCAAATAGCAACATTGTGAAGAGATCAATATAAACATTACAATGATTACAATCTGGTAGTTTTGTAGGCTAAAAGTTCAATATGTAGATGCTAAGAGTATCTACAATGATTCACATACTTTCCTGAAGTAATTCTGATAGGCTACTTGAGGTTCACTATGGTATTGTAATAGGTCTATTCATTTTTACAATTCGGTTCTTAAAGTGAACAATATTGAATTATTGATGAATCAAGCTCTTCTCTAAATCACCTTCTGTCAGTAAATTTAATAGACCACTTCAGTAGGTAGCTCTAAAATTGTAGCACATCCAAATTGAATAGCTAATTCCCTAATATCAAGTCGATCATATACTTCATCATGAAATGATTGTTTAATGTTTGATCTGATACATTATACATATCAATTGCATAAAAAGCACGATCATGATATGGAAAGCAAAAGATATGAACATAATTGACACCAATTTGGTTGTACATCACATAGAAAGATGTAAAGTAAAGATTCTTATACATCCTACTCAACTTTATTGCGATGTGACAATCAAATAGAACTTGATGAAAAAAATCGTAATAGGGGCAAACAACTTAAAATTCCGGCATTAGAAGAATCAAATTGAAGATCAGAGACGTGACAGTGCTAAACGACTTTACAAACGAATTGCTTCGATTCCTTAAGCCCTAACTTCCTTGTAATATCCGACAAATCCATTTCATGAAAGAGTGAGGGAGAAAGAGAAACAATCGGTATTTGACTTCTGTAATTGTTGTTGTGAATACCGGAAGATATAAAGGGGAAAATATCGTCTAGATCTATAGGGACGAAGTATCGTATCTATATTTTGTCACAAACCCGCCAAAGTTGCCGCGTAATCTATTGAGATGGCAATTTGTCCTTATAAATTAACCGGTCAAAAAAATTTGGTCAACCTTGTAGAGACGATATGTCGTCCCTATAGGTCCGCTACATCAACGACATTTGTCTTCCCTATAGGATGCGTCCCTATAGCTACTTATTCTTGTAGTGAGTAGAGTTTCTTATGTTCTTGACTTCTTTCCCCTTTGTCTTCTTATGTCGACGATAAGAATCACAACCATTCAACTGCAATGTGCGACATGCCTTTCTTTTTCGTTTTTATGTTACAAACTCAAATTAATTAAAATTTACTCCTAAAATCAATATTTCTTTCTCCAACATTATCTACTGATTTTTCTTCTCCCCCAAATTGGACAAGATTCATATACGTTAATGGCGAATTTCACATCAAACAGATCTTCTTCCCTACTTTCAGCAAGGGGTTTCAGAAATTCAGAAATAAATACGACCATCAGAAGGAGCTTTAGTGGCAACCCTTTTACAAGACCCAATATTGTGGTAAACCCAAGAAGCATAAATCCAGCTACCCCTGCAAACACCCTTGCTACTATAGGTATAAACGATCTTTGATTTCATGATTTTGAGTTTTTTTTTTCTGTAAAATGGGTTTTTGATTTTTAGTTTTTTTATGTTGTTAGATCATACAAAAAGAGGTCCATTACTTCGAAAAAGCACTAGTAGATCGATGTTTCAATATGGAAAAGAGAATCACAAAGATATAGTCCGTTCACCTGCTAGATCATATGAAAAGAGTTTCATGGCACCAACGATCAAGGCTGCTTCAAAGTTCACTCCATCACCAAGAAAGAAAGTTCTTGGTGAAAAGAATGTGGTGATAAGAACTTCGATCCAGTTCTTGGACAATGATTTTGTAATGAAATATGAAGCAACATCGATGGATCAACCTGCCATGACGGAAGAGGATTTAAATGAATCGGTAACCCTTGAACAAAAAGAAGTTGTTCTTGAAATTCCTCCTGTTCGTTAGGTAACTTTCGTTTCAATTGATAATGCAACTGATGTTACTGAAGATTTGATTTGGTAAAGAATAGATCTTTCTATCGGTCTACACCAACTTCACCTATCATTACTCCTTTCGATGACAACACTCTTCCTCCATATGATCCAAAAAAGAATTTTATTTCCTCTAGACCTCAATTTCTTCGTTACAAACCAACATAAGAATTGAACTTTTACTAAATAAAGTCGATGGGATTGATTGTTATGGAGAAGATGATGTTATTGGTCTTGAAGACGACTTTAATCTTTCTGATACGGTAACTGAATCTTGAATTCTAATTCTATCAAAATGAAATCACGAATTCCAATTCCGTTGGAATGGAATATGGATATTTTCTCAATGATTTATGCATGTTCTACAATTATTGGTTATTGTTTTTGAGCAATTCACATGTCCGCATATTTTTCCAAAGGAATTTAGTTTTTTATTTTTCATTTGCTAATGCATCGTTGTATTCTAAAATACAATTGGGTTTGTTTTCACAAAAGTTGATGCTTGAAGAACGGACCACACAATTAAAAGTTATTCTTAGCAACATTATTCTTTTATAATGTATTAGTGTCTTTGTTAGCCTTTGATATTTTTTTCACGATTTGAAAGGATTTTTAGTTTTATTCTTTAACAATAAATGTAATTCTTAGCAATTGTTACCGGTATTCTATAAGAATTAATCTACTTTTTGTTTTTATTCTTCAATTGATGGTTCAAGAATTTGTTATTCTACAAGAATTTTTTAAAGTCATGATCAAGAAATAGGTTCAAGAATATTTTTATTATTTCATGGTTCAAAAATATTTTTATTTTTGAATAAACTAATAAACATATTCTGTTAGAATGTCGAAATTAAAAGAATTATAATTCATAAAATCGGTTTTTTAAAATTAATAGAATCTATGTTTCCTTAAAATATGCAATTTTACTTTATTAAATCTATATTAATTGACTTAAATACCCTTGTAATTGAATTAGATGATATTTTTCAATTATATTTAATTCAATAATATTTATTAATCACTTTCTTAAGATAAGTAAAATGATGGCCCATAATCATTCGAATACCCATACAATAATTATATATATATATATATATATATATATATATATATATATATATATATATATATATATATATATATATATATATATATATATATATATATATATATATATATCATTGATCCATAAATGTCTAGTAGTTGGCTAACTTATATCTACAAAGTTAAATCAAATAATGTTGTCCACTTTATGGTTTATGTTTAGGAATCTAATACAAGAACCTAATTCACTTAAACCACGACTCTGATACCAACTTGTAATGGTTATAATTTTATACCAGGTACACCCTAAAATATTATGTTCATTTATAATTTTATAAAATAATTCAATGTACATTGGCACACTTGGATACAAGAAGTTACCACTGTGAATCGGACTGGCATGAAATATAGAATCTGAGTCGGGCGTCACAACTACTATCTTACAAAATAACCACAAATAAACATTGTAATCCAAACGCCGTAATCAATAGCGACTATAATAATGTATAATATATTAAACACACACATATATATATATATATATATATATATATATATATATATATAATATATATATATATATATATATATATATATATATATATATATATATAGTTAAAGTACCAAATCATCATTGATATGCAACATGCAATTTACACCAATTAGTTAAGTTCGCATGTTCTCGTATGAGATCCCATAGAATGTTATTTTTGTAATGGTTACTACCTAATAATAATCTAAACCAAAAAGTCATTATAATCACTATACACTCCTCCATTCACGATCAATACACCTCCACCCGTCTCATTGTTGTATGTATATATATATATATATATATATATATATATATATATATATATATATATATATATATATATATATATATATATATATATATATATATATATATATATATATATATATCATTCGTAATAAATGAAAATAATTTTGCCACATGTCACTCTCTCATTAAATTAGACACATGTCATTTTTTGGTATTTTTGAATAAATGTTTTTTCCATTTGTCATTTTTTTTTATCTTTTCTTAATTAACACATCATATTTACACCTTAATTAATAATTACCTTAATTGAAAATAACAAATAATTACAATATTACTTATATAGTATTTTTAATATGTTTCCTTTTAAACCAAATTTTAAAATTTAATTTCAAATCTAAAATTTCAAATTTAAATAAACTTCTGTTTAAACATTTATGTTTAATTATTTTTGTATTATCTAACCCTTATAACATACGAGTCTTACAACTAGTATATATATATATATATATATATATATATATATATATGTATATATATATATATATATATATATAACCCGTATAACATACGAGTCTAACAACTAGTGTGTGTATATATATATATATATATATATATATATATATATATATATATATATATATATATATATATATATATATATATATAGGTGGGTTCAATTGAGAAAATAAAAAAAGTTGAGAATGGGGGAATCATTCTCAACCACCACTCATTTTATCTAAGCATAAAAAGCCACAGTGGCAAACTTGTAAATATGATAACAACCTTCAATCTCAAATACGTATCTGTAGAGAATTAGATTATAGTTCAAACCCATTCATCGTTCATCATCCAAATTTCTTCTCCAATTTTCAACAATCATCCAGATTTCTTCAATTAAACCATCTTCAACATCATCCAGTGCTAATCAATCATCGATCTTCGTCAATAATCAACACGATTCAACAGTTAACAACAAAAATTCATTTTTGGTTCTTTTACTTCAACCTTCAATTGTGCTTGAATACGATCAGATCTTCAACATCTATGATTAATTATACTCCAAGCGTTATTAGATCAACATCATCGATAATCAACAAAAATCCACTTCATATCATTCATTCAACATCGATTATCAAATAAAACTTCAAAATTGAGGTTAGAAAAAGATCAAATTGTTTTTTTTTTGAAAAATTTCATATAATTCTCTATCAATCTATTCTTTTGTAAGATTTAAATAGTCAAAATATCATGTGTTTAACATTTTTTAAAAAAAAAGTTAAATTGTATGCACTCCAACTGTTTGATGAAATGCATAAACTAAATTACCACATTATATTTATATACGAATATGTTTTCTCAGCATAGGATTATTAAAACAAAAAAACAAATATGCAAGTCTATATGTTATTCATATGTGAATAACATATAAAAATTATATATATATATATATATATATATATATATATATATATATATGTGTGAAAATACCTTGTAACATTCATATGTGAATATACTGTGTAATATTCATATGTAAATATACTGTGTAATATTCATAAGTGAATATATCATTTAATATTCACAAATGAATATACTATGTAATATTCACATGTAACATACCATGTAATACTATGTAATATTCAGATATGAAAATATTATCTAATATTCATAAGTGAATATACCATCTAATAATACAAGTAAATATACTATGTAATATTCATATGTGAATGCATTGTCTAATATTTAAATATGAATATACTATGTTTATTATATGCTATATCCATATATGAATGATACTTAAATTGTAAAAAAAAAAATTAATAATAGTTTTTATTCATAACTGAATAACGAATGTACTGTAGTAAAAACCGGATTCATTTTTATTCACTTATGAAGAACGATAGCTGAAAATATATAAAAAAAAATTTATTTTATCTTAAAACTATATCAATATGGATGTCTATTTGTAGAGAATAAAAAATCATGAATTTTGGTATATATTTAAAATAATTTTTCGATAAAAATAGTTTTTTAAAAATTAAAAAAAAAAACGAAAAAACTATGTTTTTATATAGATTAAGATAATGATTAGCATAATTTAAGGAAACATGTTTTGTTGGAAAGCACATGTTTATTCCTTTCCTATTTCTGCTGGTACGACGGAGGCTTTTGCGGCAAAAAGAAACGAGTGGCTGAGAATGATTCCCTCATTCTCAACCTTTTTTTTCTCAATTGAACTCTCCTATATATATATATATATATATATATATATATATATATATATATATATATATATATATATATATATATATATATATATATATATATATATGTGTGTGTGTGTATGTGTGTGTATGTATCTCCTCAGGTCATACTATCTACGAATACAATACTCAATCATTTAAATCATGTAATATATATCACAATTTACAAAACAAAAATTTCGTAACAACTTATATTATAGTATCGTTACTCACCTGGTTATTTGGCAGATTGATTTTAACTTCCATTCCCGACCTATGCTGTCTTCCAGCTCGTCACATACCCACACGTAACTAACAATTACCAATTTCCACATAACCTGTCACAATTCACCACTAACTTAGCTTAGCTAAGCCCATCAAAATGAGTAAATCTAATAAAATAGGTATTGTAACCCTCATCGTCCGAGCTAAATATTTTACCGTAAAATTTACTCACTAACCTGTCACATTTCACTACTAGCTACACTTTGTAACTATTAGTCACCATACTCATTGAACTCTATGATATCACCTCTACACACTAATATAAGAAGATTGGGCAACATGTTACTGCAAATGCGTCGTTAGTATTGCTTCGTTGCTAATACGCTTCTTGTCGCCGCTAATACTATGTGTCGCTGCTAATATCTTGTCGCCGCTAATAAGTGCATGTCGCCACAAAAGATGTCGCCGCTAATACTGTTTTGATTTTTTATTTTTTTTTAATTTATTTATTTAACATTAAATTTATAATCAATCCAAATATTAATCCACATAGCATTTGAAAAATCTGATAACTTTTTATAGAAATATTAATACATATACAATCAATCCAAAATATTAATCCATACAACATTAAGTATTCTTCCAAATTACAAAACATTTCATAAAATCTTAAAGTAACTA